CCCATTGACTTTGCGTGTCAGAAGGTCGTAAAAAAAGATCACATAACTCCAGAATTACAGCGATTGTCAGAAATACATGCCAGTTACCAAGCGTCCAAATTTTGATCATGTGATTCTGGGGATGCTGCAACAGAAAATGGTCAAAAATCAGTATTTTTAGTGCTGTTGTAACTTTGGATAGTCAGTAAATGAAAGGACTCGCTATGCAGAAAAAGATGAAGATGTGTTCTTTCTCATTGCTTTGAAATAACGACAAGAGGGCAAGTTTCATGTGAGCATTAGAAAAACTTTTTCAATTTCTGCTGAGCAGTTTGATGTTGGAAACCATTGCCCAGAGAGTTTGTAGCGGGATAGTGTGATGCATTCTAAAATTAGGTAAGTGTTTCTCACTTGACATAGCAGATAAACCCTGAAAAAGATTGCATCTGGAGCTCTGGAAACGGTAACTGTGGGACAGATACGTTCAAATGACTTCATTTTACTAGTCAAGAAGAATAATCCGAATTAGCTGGGTCAGAGCATGGCAAAACTCCCCACCCCTCCTCTCCTTTTGTTCTGTCCAGGATATGTTGAAGAACACCACCAAAGGCCACCCAGATAGGCTGCCTCTACAGATGGCTCTCACGGAACTTGAAACGCTGGCGGAGAAACTAAACGAAAGGAAAAGGGATGCAGATCAGCGCTGTGAAATAAAACAGATAGCCAAAGCCATGAATGAGCGTTATCTGAACAAGGTTTGTGACTCATGCTGGGGTTGAAAATCCATTCCCTTCCAGTCGGTAAACGAAACAGTCAGAGAAAGGGACCAAGCGCACCTTTGGGCTCAAATGTCTGTGCAAGCATCCTGGTCTTTAATGTCTTGTGAATGGCCAATAGGATCAAGGGAATCCTTTTCTCTGGTGCAGATATGGGGACAGAGGAGGTGTTCATCCTAGGTCCCACTGAATGACTGTGTATATAATTGAAACACCTGGAGCAAGGCAACTCTCTCAGTTCTGATGGATTCTAAAATGTTTAAAGGAAAGGTTCCCCTCGCATAATATATGTGCTAGTCGTTGCCGAAGAGCCAGCACTGTCCGAAGACGTCTCCATGGTCATGTGGCCGGCATGACTAAACGCCAAAGGTGCACAGAATGCTGTTCCCTTCCCACCAAGGTGGTTCCTGTTTTTCTACTTGCATTTTTACATGCTTTTGAACTGCTAGGTTGGCAGGAGCTGGGACAAGTAACGGGAGCTCACTCCATTACGCGGCGCTAGGGATTCGAACCGCTAAACTGCCGACCTTTCTGATCGACAAGCTCAGCTTGTTTTAGCCACTGAGCCACCACATCTCCTCTAAAATGTTTAGGCTTTCTTAAATAAATATTCCCAATATGTGTTTTATACAAATACATCACATTTGTTTCATGGACATCAGTTGCTGCTATGTTGATAGTACTGAATTTGGTTTTCTATCCCAAGTGGGAAAAAGAAAAAAAGCCAAAATAGGAACATGGGATGAAGGTGCAAAGGTGGCTTTACTCAGTTGATAAGGCTCTGAGTATCCTCCTTGCACCGTCTCCATTGACATTCTGAAGACTAACCATTTATTAACTCAAGTTTTCTTGAATCATAACCCATTTATTGAATGAAGAGAGTAATCTGTATGCCAGTTTCTCCCCATCAGAAGTCATCCCATTATTCCTGATTGACCAATTCCAATTATTTTGGGGCAACAAACAGTTCTAGTCTGTTTGGTGTTTGACCCTCCTCAGTTCTTCATGGGAGGTTTAAGAGCCATGGTGGATCAGTGGTTCAAGTGCAGCATTGCAGCAAACTCTGCCTACTGCCAGGAGTTTGAGCCTGACCAGCTCAAGGTTGACTCCTTCCGAGGTCAATAATGCTGGCTCTATAAACCGCTTAGAGAGCTGTAAAGAATTAGGAGGCAGCATATAAGTGCTATTGCTATTAATCAGCGCCCCCATATTTATATGAACTTTCCCATGTAGCGCAAAGTGCTTTTATCATGCATGTTATATATGTAGTTGAGAAACTTTAATTCTTTCTTTATTGCTATGGGTCATGATGAAAGTTTTCTTCTTGATTTTATCTTCTCAAATAAGGAACCATTGATTACATATAATGTTGCCTGATTTTTGTCTGGTGGCAATTAAAATTTACATACAAATAATTAATGGTACAGGGTATGGGTAAACCTACTGAGAATTCGTCTTTTTTTAAAAAATAGTCATCTGTTCTTACATCTTTTTCGTGGGCCTTCATGAACCCACCCCCCCACTTTTAGTCTGCAGTCCTACTCTTAACATTAAGAATTTATCTAGACAGATTTCACAGTTTTAATATTGTAGTATGATATTAACAATCAGGCTTTTACTTAACTTTTAACTCTTATAAGTGCCAGAGTTGTTATTGAAATGGGTGAATATTTTTTTTCCTTGATTGTATTTTATGTTAATCCCTTGATTGTATTTTATGTTAATGAAATGAAGGATTGATTGATTGATTGATTGATTGATACCTGATTATCATTATGCTATAGATACAAAATTGTAAAGGAAGAATTTTATTTCATAACAAAATTAACAGAATTCTGTGAACTCATCAAACTGGTTCATATATTTTTAAAGCAGAATATGTTCAGGTGTAAGAAAATACTATGTTATGAAACCTTTTCGTATTATTCAGTTACTCAGCTGTGGCAACCGGTACCTGATCCGAAGTGATGATATGCTCGAAACGGTTTATACGGACAAAGGGGAGATCATGAAAACCAAGGAACGGCGCCTCTTTATGTTAAACGATGTTCTCATGTGTGCCACTGTGCATATTCGGTAAGATTCTAGCCGCACACTATAAAATAATTGCTAAAGCATAAGAGATAAGACACATGAACTAGGAAAGTGTGTTTGTGTGTGTGTTCAGAGTCCATTTTAAGTGGTTTTCAGTTGCAGGTATACAATGGGTTATAATTCAGGGTTCTTACTTAGTGGCAGATCACATTTCATTATACTGTACACAAAAAATCCCACTTTCATATCTGTGGCTTTGGGCAAAGGTGGCCAGAGCAAGTGTTTCTCAACCTTGGTGACTTTAAGTCCTGTGGACCTCAACTCCCAGAATCCCCCAGCCAATGACTTGTGACTGTTTTTCACAACTATGACCATTGCAACATATGATCAGAATCCAGATGCTTGGCAACTGGCATGTACTTAGGATGGTTGCAGTGTCTCATATGATCATCTATTGCAGTGTTTCTCAACCTTGGCAACTTTAAGTCCTGTGGACTTCAACTCCCAGAATCCCCCAGCCAGCGCAG